GCTCCTCAGGCACAAGCTAGTTACGACAGACTGCAACAGTGCAAAGGTAACATAGCTGAGCAAAGTCCCTTTGCAACAGCAACACTCAGGGAAGCTCTTCAGAACACTACCCAGTGTTCCCTTTTTCCAGACCCATGCTGACCATCAAGCACCAGGGGAGGTAGCAAGCACACAGAGTCCCCAAATTCCCTAATGCAAGTACTCACAAGGCTCACGGACAGAATGGTTGCCTCCTTCCAATCATCCAAGCGATATCCTCCAGTGATACCAGGCAGAGCTTTGACGGACAGCTCCCCTCAGTCAGCTTACTGAAGAACCAGGGTCACTCTCTCTAACTTCAGGCCGTCAGGTCAACCCACCTGAGACCACATGGTAGTAGTTGCTAGGCGAGGCAGCCTGCCTCCACTCCTGGGAAAGGCCCTGAACTGATGGGCTCTCAGAACATAAGAAACCACTCCCAACATGCAATGGGACTGCCTTCCAATGCAGTTGGCTAGGGCTGTATCTATTTTCATGCTGTTCATTTGCCTAGCCCTTACCCAAGTTCTCGAAGGCTCTCATATCTTCCTGAAGGCGGGCAGAACTCAGACAAACTCAGAATACCACACTGCATTTACCTGACAGCCTCTCTGTTAACCAGAGAAACACAGCTATGCTTAACCCAACCATACACATCCTAGGACATAACTAGGAGGGTGCTACACAATGGTTTGGAGGGGTGTCCAAATACTTTTGCAATGTGGTGTATATTAGGGAGTCTTTAAGGCGTGTCATTAACATGTCTTTCATATTTTACATATGTAGCGCTACCCCAGAAGGAGCCACTGGTAATATTGGATCCTCTGCCAATTTTCTGGCCCTAGATGGAGCCTCACTCTTACTGGCATTACCAGAATACCTTGGCTGGTAGCTCCCAGCATTCACACAAGAAAGGGACACACTGACTGTAGACAAGACACACTTGTCTTTGTACTCCTCATCTGATTGCTGCCACACACACTAGACACCATCTTAACCAAATAAGTTTATCTTGGTCTCATCAGACCACAAGACATGGTTCCAGTAATCCATATCCTTAGTCTGCTTGTCTTGAGCAAACTGTTTGCAGGCTTTCTTGTGCATCATCTTTAGAAGAGGATTCCTTCTGGGACGACAACCATGCAGACCAATTTGATGCTGTGTGTGGTGTATGGTCTGAGCACCGACAGGCTGAACCCCCCACCCCTTCAACCTTTGCAGCAATGCTGGCAGCACTCATAAGTCTATTTCCCAAAGAAAAACCTCTGGATATGACGCTAAGCATGTGCACTCAACTTCTTTGGTCGACCATGGCGGGGCCTGTTCTGAGTGGAACCTGTCCTGTTAAACCGCTGTATGGTCTTGGCCACTGTGCTGCAGCTCAGTTTTAGGGTCTTGGCAATCTTCTTATAGCCTAGGCCATCTTTATTTAAAGCAACAATTCTTTTTTTCAGATACTCAGAGTTGTTTGCCATGAAGTGCCATGTTGAACTTCCAGTGACCAGTATGAGAGAGTGAGAGCGAACACACCAAATTTAACAAACCTGCTACCCATTCACACCTGAGACCTTGTAACACTAACGAGTCACATGACAACCCGGGGAGGGATAATGGCTAATTGGAAAAGATTGTTATACTACCAGTAAGCCAGTGCTGCCACCATGTTTGGATTCTTGTCCGAACCCACCTAAGGGAGCCTGCCAGGAAGCTGTCACCTGTACTGGGCTAGTCATGAGCAGCCAAGGCATTCCCTGCCCTGCTCATATATAGTACATGTACATTGTATATGTGCTTCCGTGGGGCAGGGAAAGCTCTGGCCACAGATGATTGGCCCACTACAAATGAAAGCCACCTGGTGGGATAGCTCAGGTGGGTTTGGACTAGAATCCAAACATGCCTGAGCTCATCCCTAGTTATAGAGAATCTCTTCCTCTTAATTGTTCAATAAAATTTAAATTCCCAAACCTAAGTACAAAACTGTAATATACACTGCTCACAAAATATAAAGGAACACTTTGAAAACACATCAGATCTCAATGGGGAAAAATGTCATGCTGGATATCTATACTGATATGGACTGGGTAATGTGTTAGGAATGTAAGGATGCCTCATCGTTTGATGGAAATTAAAATTATCAACCTACAGAGGACTGAATTCAAAGACACCTCGAAAATAAAAGTGAAAAAATGATGCAGCAGACTAGTCCATTTTGCTGAAATTTAATTGCAGCAACTCAAAATGGTATGCATTCCTGACAATGTTGGGGCATGCTCCTAATGAGATGACAGATGGTGACCTGGGGTATTTCCTCCCAGATCTGGACCAGGGCATCACTGAGCTCCTGGACAGTCTGAGGTGCAACCTGGTGGTGTCGGATGGACCAAAACATGATATCCCAGAGGTGTTCTATTGGATTTAGGTCAGGCGAGCGTGGGGGCTATTCAATGGTATCAATTCCTTCATCCTCCAGGACATTTCTGCATACTCTTGCCACATGAGGCCGGGCATTGTCATACACCAGGAGGAATCCAGGACCCACTGCACCAGAGTAGTGTCTGACAATGGGTTCAAGGATTTCATCCTGATACCTAATGGCAGTCAGGGTGCCATTGTCTAGCCTGTAGAGATTTCCATGGATATGCCTTCCCAGACTATCACTGACCCACCACCAAAACGGTCATGCTGAACGATGTTACAGGCAGCATAACGCTCTCCACGACTTCTCTAGACCCTTTCACTTCTGTCACATGTGTTCAGGGTGAACCTGCTCTCATCTGTGAAAAGCACAGGGCGCCAGTGGTGGACCTACCAATTCTGGTGTTCAGTGGCAAATGCCAATCGAGCTCTATGGTGCCAGGCAGTGAGCACAGTGCCCACTAGAGGACGTTGGGCCCTCAGGCCACCCTCATGAAGTCTGATTCTGATTGTTTGGTCAGAGACATTCACACCAATGGCCTATTGGAGGTCATTTTGTAGGGTTCTGGGAGTGTTCATTCTGTTCCTCCTTCCTCCGGCTCTCCTAGAGTAACTGCCTGTCTCCTGAAATCTCCTCCATGCTCTTGAGACTGTGCTGGGAGACAGAGCAAACTTTCTGACAATGGCACGTATTGATGTGCCATCCAGGAGGAGTTGGACTGCTTGTGCAGCCTCTGTAGGGTCCAGGTATCGGCTCATGCTACCAGTAGTGACACTGACCCTAGCCAAATGCAAAACTAGTGAAAAAACAGTCAGAAAAGATGAGTAGGGGAAAAAAAATGTCAGTGGCCTCCACCTGTAAAACCACTCCTGTTTTGGGGGTCGTTTCATTGTTGCCCATCTATTGCACCTGTTGTTAATTTTATTAACACTAAAGCAACTGAAACTGATTAACAACCCCCTCTGCTACTTAACCGACCAGATCAATATATCCCCCCCCAGGAGTTCAATTGACTTGATGCTATACTCCGATTAAAAAGTGTTCCTTTAATTTTTTTGAACAGTGTATATATGACTACTAACCATCTCTTGATGTGGTTGCTGCACTAGTTTTGTTTTTTCAATGTGTTTTTCTCTCCTTTAACCCAGTAAAACACTTCCTTTTCTAGGATAACAATACTTACTCATTGTACAGTAATCTAATACAGTGGGGCAAGTGGTACAAAAAGGTTATAACTGTGGGGGATGAGCTATTGGAATTGATAAAAGTTTAGTTGAAGGCATGATAGGTTTCCCTGAAGAGATGAGTATTCAGGGATTGCCAGAGTAGGAGATAGCTGAACAGATTGAGGTAGAGAGTTTCAGAGGATGGGAGAGGCTCTGGAGAAGTCCTGGAGATGAGCATGGGAGGAGGGGACAATGGAGCTAGAAGGCAGGAGATCTTAGGAGCATCAGAGAGGATGGTTTGGGTGATATTTGGAGGCAAGGTTGGTAAATGGCTTTGTAAGTTTCTGTTAGTATTTTGAATTTATTTCGCTGGGCAATCGGAAGCCAGTGGAGGGATTGGCAGATAGGGGTGGCAGACACTGAGCGATTGGTAAGGTAGAGGATTCTGGCAACAGCATTCATGATATCCTACAGAGGTAGCCCTATAAGAAGAGAGTTGCAATAATCAAGGCAAGGTACTTGGGATATTAGCCTTCACTTCAGGTTACAGAGACACAACAGACAGTTGTGTTTGTGAACAGGTGTCCCTACTTGGGCTCTTTCCGACTGGAGGCTGGTGGGCGTAAAAACAGGCCCCCTGTATTGTTACAATACAGCCGGACAACAACACAGCCACAGCATTGATATTTCAGGATGCAAGGTTTGACAAGTGACATGGCCTGTCAAAGTAGCCTATTGAGTTCAATGGGACTGCACCGTAACTACAAGCCAAACGCTCAACTTGCAGTTGCAGCATGGGCACAAAATGTAAAATTTTCATTCAAAAATATAAAAAAAGTTACTAAAAAAGCATGCATTCACTAGGTGGAAATAGTACTTCCAGAATGTCTGTCACCCATTGATATACTACCTTCTGAAAAGTGATCCACCACTGATCGATTTTCAGAGGGTGCTTTACAGTATCGTAAATTTGAAAGGCTTTAGAATAATAGTTTCCTACTTCCCCTTGGTATAAAGAATTTTTCGATTTCCCATCACTTGCTGTCCCAGTGGCAATGGTCTCAAGGACAAAGAGAGGGGTGAATCTCCGCAGAAGGGGCACAGACACCAAGAAAAAGGACAGGGATTTATTAATTCTCCACTCTATCCAAAACATAATAAAATTACACTTTGTCTAATGTTCTAGCCTCTGCCGTAAATGTGATCAGATAAAAACTGGCTGGATTCTTAAGCAACACCTTCAAATCTGCACCAATTGTTATCAATTGGAATCAGTATTCAGTGGTTCTTCTCTGGGTTAATCCTCAGCTGGTCATTAAAAGGCGTGGCCTGTAGGCATCATTACTTGAGCACATATAGATGTATGAGGAGTGTGTTTGTAGTAGTTTTGAACTAGCATCATGCATGTGGCTAACAATAGGTTCAATGTAGCTTTGCAGCGGCTGCAGAGTTTTAGGACTATGTATGATTATAACACAAGGCTTGAAACATTTGCTGATTGGCCCTTTACTGAAAACTGCAAGTGTACCCCTGAAAATGTGAGTATGTACCATGCTGCTGGTCTACCATGTGTTAAATGCTTGGGACACGCCTGTTACTGTAACAGTAACCATATATTGGGATTGATTTAGTAACAAAATAGAAAATAAAGTCAAGTCCACTTTAAGCCCTGGTTCACACTGATGTAGAATTTGCAGCGTTTTCAGTGCCAATTCTACACCGTATCAGAATCGCACCCCATTCACACGAACTGCTGTGGGTATGTATGTTAAGTTAACACCCTGAAAGCGGTCAGCAAAACTGTGTGATGTGCAGAATCTGATCGCATGGGTGTGAATACCTATGTGATCCGGTTCTAGTACAGGCCCAAAAAAGGGTCCTGCATGTTTTTGGTGCAGTGCGATTAGAGCCATACAAAATGTATGACTCCGATTGCACCACACACAAATCACATGTGATTCACACAGGAATGTGGTGCGGTTCCTGTGCAAATCACATGCGATATGCTGCACATATGTGAACCCAGGCTGTGGGGCTAGTGGGGAGCAAAAAATCTTTACTTGCATGGGTAGATTATTGAAATGTACACATCTTCCACTCATGCACTAAGCTAAGTGAACATGCCCTTTCATATTCCTACTCTTCAAGTAATTCACCCCCAATGTGTTTTGACATCTCTACTCAAAATTCTGGTAGACGTTTTTATGTGCAATTGATAGCCCCTTGCATGGATGTGTCTTGTTACTCGTGTCTTCTTGAAATGATTATAAACTAATAAAGACCATTGAAATACAAAAATGTAATGTATTTGTTTACCAATTTAAAGAGAAAAAAAATTCTGGTAGAAGTGATGTAAAAAAAAAAAAGCACCAAAACTGCACTTCCCCATTGAAAAAAAAAAAATGGAAAATGCAGCAAACCATCCAAAATGCACTGCATTTTTAGAGTTGCATGTCCTGTAAAAAAAAAACACTTCACATACATGGTAAAAGTGCAAATGGTGTGAAAGTTGCATTGTGTGGGTGGTTTCTAGTGAGCTTTTTGTGCCTCCTTCACTTTGGCTCTGTGACCATCATGGCAGGATCAGTGGGTATTTAATTGAAAGTGGCAGGCTTTAACATGTATGTTTGAAATGTAATGTTAAAGTGGAACTTTACCTATAACAACCTTGATTAAAAAAAAAAGTTCTTTAGCATGTTAGACTGTATATGCCACATTAATAATTGTTACCAAAATTAGTGTGTGCTGTGATTGCCTTCTTTTCTTCTTGCTAGAGGTAGCCATTTTGCTAATGCCCAGAGCCCCTGAGCAGCAGTAAATCTTTAGGCTGTTAACAGATTGGCCTCTACATTTTTGGCACAGTGGCTAAAAATAGAGCACAACTGAGCATGTGCAGAGCAGGGTGATCCAGTGTATTACTGGATTTTAAACTGTATAAGTACAATGTTTTACATGGCTACCCCTTCAAAAGGTGGCCAGTCTTGAGTTATCTAGCAGGCAGGGGCGGACTGACAACTCATGGGGCCCCCGGGCAATAGGGGATCATGGGGCCCCTGTGTCCTTGCCCAAACTCAAAAAATCCTATGAAAAAGGTACCAGGGGCATCTCATGGGGCCCCCTACTGACCCCGGGCCCTTGGTCAGTGCCAGAGTTTCCAAATGGTCAGTTCGCCCCTGCTAGCAGGTCTTAAATTTTCTGACAAAATTTTCACTTTAAAGCTCCTAAGAATTTAGTAATTGGGTAGTCTTCCAAGCCCCCAAGTTAGCCTTGCCAATAGAATATGCCTTTCACTTTGTACCCTTCTTTTGAGGCTCTTATGTCTTAAAAAGGCTTTCATCCTTCCTGAGGTAGGAGGATTATTGTAGAGAAAATGGGTTTTACTGGACATGGATGACAGTCACAAAATGTGTTGGTCTCACAAGCACAGTTTATGGTACTAAACAAGGTGAGTGGGTTGGCATACAACAATCTACATGACAATTGCCAAACAAACTGCCCTTATAGAATATAATTTTGTTTTTAGCCTAAAATTTTTGGGGTAATTTCCCCCTTGCATTCTATCTAATGGATATTTTGGTAATATACTGTATGTAATAGGCACGCTTGTATGTGTAAGGTGCAGGCGATCTCCTAATTTGTATTGTAGTTTGGCACAAAGAATTTGACATAGCAGCTCACAAGTTTTGATTATAATTTTTTTGGAAAAAGAAACTGGAGGGAAATCTTCCCAATGGAATATGGGGAAACCATAAAATGACTAACTTTTTTTATGCCGGACAAAAAAATTTTTGGTTGGGGTTGGACTTAAACATGCAGCATTTAGTACAAAGGCTCCCATTTGTCAGTCTTAATGACTGGGTAATATTAACTGCTATAGTCAATATTCATGTTTATAATGACTAATAGCTCTTTTTTTGTTCCTATAGATGGCAAAGGCAGGCTTTATACACTGTCCCACGGAGAATGAGCCAGATGTTGCCTGCTGTTTTTTTTGTCTCAAAGAGTTGGAAGGCTGGGAGCCAGATGATGACCCTAGGTGAGCCCATTTTTAGTGCATAAAGGTGTTAACAGGGCAGAGTCGTAAAAGCAGAAGAATAGTGCTGCTCAGAACAGCAAGTCAGGTGTTGGCTTACATTTCCCCAACCTAGAAAAGAGAGGTTGAAGGTTGGATTATAGTTGCCTTAACTTTGATTTACCGTAAAGGCAACACTTGATATACCATGCCTTTTCATGTCATACAGTGGATATATAGTCTACACACCCCTGTTAAAATTTCAGATTTCTGTGATGTAAACAAATGAGAATACTAAACCATTTTAGAACTTTTTCCACCTTTTTAATGTGACCTATAAACTGTACAACTCAATTAAAAAACAAACTTTTTTTTTTTTTCTTTTCTGTGGGGGGGGGAAGTAAACATAGAAAAACTAAAATAATGTGGTTGCATAAGTGTGCACACCCTCTTATAACTGGGGATGTAGCTGTGTTCAAAATTAAGCAATCACATGTTAAATTTGAGTCAGTACACACCTGACATTTTCTTAGTTACATCCTAGCAAAAACCATGGTCCGCAGAGAGCTTCCAAAGCATCAGAGGGATCTCATTGTTCAATGATATCAGTCAGGAGAAGGGTAAAAAAAAATTTCCGAGGCATTAGATATAACATGGAACACAGTGCAGACCGTTGTCAAGTGGAGAAAATATGGCGCAACAGTGATATTACCAAGAACTGGACATCTCTGCAAAATTGATGAGAAGAAAACTGGTTTGGGAGGCTGCCAAGAGGCCTACAGCAACAATAAAGAAGCTGCAGGAATATCTGGCAAGTACTGGCTGTGTGTGGTACAACAATCTCCCGTATTCTTCAGATGTCTGGCCTATGGGGTAGAGTGACAAGATGGAAGCCTTTTCTTACGAACAAAAACATCCAAGCCCAGCTAAATTTTGCAAAAACATATCTGAAGTCTCCCAAAAGCATGTGAGGAATGTGTTCTAGTCTGATGAAACCAAGGTTGAACTTTTTGGCCATAATTCCAAAAGATATGTTTGGCGCAAAAACACTGCACATCACCAAAAGAACACCATACCCACAGTGAAGCATGGTGGTGACAGCATCATACTTTGGGGCAGTTTTTCTTCAGCTGAAACTGGGGCCTTAGTCAAGGTAGAGGGAATTTATGAACTGTTCCAAATACCAGTCACAAAACCTTTGGGCTTCTGCTAGAAAGCTGTACATGAAGAGGAACTTCATCTTTCAGCATGACAACCCAAAGGATACCTCCAAATCAACAAGTGAATGGCTTCACTAGAAGAAGATTCAAGTTTTGGAATGGCCTATCCAGAGCCTAGACCTGAATCTGATCAAAAATCTGTGGGGTGATCTGCAGAGGGTTGTGCACAGGCAATTCCCTCGCAATCTGACAGATTTGGAGTTTTGTTTTTTTTTTTTTTTTTTTTTTTGAAAGGAAGAGTGGGCAAATATTGCCAAGTCAAGATGTGCCATGCTGATAGACTCATACCCAAAAAGACAGTGCTGTAATAAAATCCAAAGGTGCTTCAACAAAGTATTAGTTGAAGGGTGTGTACACTTGTGCAACCATACTATTTTTTTTCGTTTATTATGTTTACTTCCCTCCACCTAAAATATTTCAGTTTGTTGTTCAATTGAGTTCTACAGTTTATAGGTCACATTAAGGTGGAAAAAGTTCTCAAAATTATTTCTTTGTGTGTGGTTTTTTTTTTTTTTTTTTTTTTTTTTTTTTTTTTTATCCATTGTTTACTTTGGCATAGGAGTAGAGAAACCTGCTACTTTGCTGAAGTCCATGATGACAAAATCTTGCCGCCTAAGACATATGGACTGTACATGTGCCTGCTCAGATCTTGGATTTTTCTGACTTTACTACTGTCTATCACAGGGTTGAACATTCAAAAAGATCTACTACTTGTGGCTTTCTCACCCTCACAAAAAGCACTGATGAGTTGACCATGGAAGAGCTGCTTCGATTGGAGGTCTCTCGGATTAAGAATTTCTATGTAAGACTTTGATTTTTGTTATAGTAAGATTGATGCACAATTTACCAGTTGTTTGTAAGGATGGATTTGCACATCACAATTCCACTCAATGCTACTGATTTGAGCTGCGTAGTAGCGTGTAGCAAGATATAACACTGTTATCAGCTTTCCGTCATCTCTCCATAGATCTGCAATGGCGCAGGTAGCATGCGCTGCTTAGTTGCAAACGTCATGACAACTGGTTTGATGGGAAAATGGCTCATTGTCAGTTTTGGTGAGATTGGTCTGTATATGGCCAGTCTGGGGTTCATACTATCAAAAAGTAATTCATAACCTGCTGTGCTTAGGGATTCATGATTGGGCTTATTTAAATATCCATCCATCTCTCACAAGTGGACCCACTACATGAATATCAAGTCTGACAACGATTTAGTGTTTGATGGGCCAGAATCGCTAGAAAGTCACTAGGAGAGACTTTCCTGCAGTAGTTGTCCACCTCTTTCGCAAGGCTATGATGGAAGGGCTGCTGTGATGCCATCCTTTCCCTGTAATGGCTGCAGCAGTTGGGTGGTAGTATGAATTCTGATACTAGAAAGTGGAGTTCTAGTGAGGTAAGTAAACAAGCAATAAAATTAAACTCTAGGATAACTAAAGACACTTAACAGTAGCTTTATTTGGAATTGGCCTTGGTGTTAACGAAAGAAAATACCCGTGTTGGAAATTTATGAAGTTTTTATGAAGGCTTGAAAGGTTTTGTTTTAGGTCATCAAGGGTAATAACGCTTGGTTACTTCCAGTGAAGCCTTTGCTATATGAAAGGACCCTTTTTTAATCTTGCTGACCAAGTTTTTAGTATTAACGGTGTGTGCTTTCATGCACATGTAGGCAGGCGCAGTCTGTCTCCACTGTAGGTGGAGCTCTGAGTGGTACCACAGGCTGGAGGGAAGTCAAGGGGCAATACTGTTTCTCTAAATTCCTAGGTGAATGGAGCAGCATTCCATTTGGCTACACTGCAGCCATGTGACCCTTGGTAGCTATCTTGGGTCAGCAGGGTCTATAAAAGTCCGTGCCCCTGGGATTTGGTGTGCTTTTGTGAGTGGCTAGTTGTAGGGAGGGTGACCCAGCTAGGGAAAGCCATTAGTGGTAGGGAAAGGTTTCTGGTGAGAAGAGACAGGTTAGGGACTTCTGCCTGGAAAGAAGACTCCCTGTATGGGACTGGACTGGCCAGGCCACAATTCAACCTCTGGTACAGATGCTGTTAGTACCTCTACTCAGCTATGTCTTTGACTGCATGAGTTTTCTCTGTGTGCTCTCCCACTAGGGTGTCCAGTGACATTCTGCTCACTAAAAGTTTCTAGTTTTTTACTGTAACAGGACTGTGTGATTACTACCACCACGCTGCACCTCCCCACATCAGTATGACCATCTATGAATACAGAAAGTGTAAAATGAACCTCTAATAAGCTTCATGGCTGGCTGGCCTCAATATTTAGCGTTAGACCCTAAAGCATTCTGTAAAATAAGTGTCAGAATTGATTTCCCTAATACTTGTTCCAGGTCAGACTCTGAAGACAAGGAAGCCAAAATATCAGCATGAGTCAACCAACTGGCAAGGAGAGATTGGCAATAGCGCTCCCACATACTGTTCTTCGTCAATTTACAATCCATATAATAAAGGATTTGTGTAGATATCCAACTCCATCTTCTATTCCAAACCCCCCCATGTTTGCTTAGTTAATAATCTGGTTCTTTATGGTTACATGTTCGCTAGGTGGATGTGTCTTGACAATTTTGGTGGGAGAGGGAAATTAAAGTAAGCCTGTGCTCTGCCCATTTTGTGCTCAAAAGGTTCACTTTACTGCTGCCCTATCCACTTTCTTTTGCTCACCCATCCATATTCAATTTCTAGGCGTAAGAGAAAAACTTGTTGCAGTCACAATTTGAGTATTACACAGAGCTGAAGGAAGTCACATGAGAACAAGGTCATCATAGGACAAGGGGCACTAAATGTAATGTGCTTTGCCTTAGTAGTCACTCTAAAACCGCATGTGCAGAGTATGTATGTGGCCATGTTTCACTCAATATTGAAATGGTGTTCCTGTATCTTTTTGCTCAACACACTATTACATTTTGGGAAACTTGGCCACTGATTGTGACTAAAAGATTGTTGGGCCAAAATTTAAATTTCAGCAGTCTTTGTAATTCCTAAATTCTTTCCTGTCTTTTGAAGCGCAAGTTTGCCAGTGTTGTTAGCCAATACCTTGATGAAGAGATGACTGCCACCACGAGACGCCTGGTTGAATACTTTGCTAATCAACATAACTGTTCGCTTGAGATGGATCTTCAGCTTTAACAATGTATCAGCATTTTCCAGTGTATCAAATGTTATTTGTTTTTAAGTGTTTAACTTATTGAAGTCGTTTGTTTCCACCCCTCCCCATACCTTTAAAATGGATGCTGTTTTTTTTTTTTTAATTGTATTTTAAATGTATTTTTACTGCTATCTCTAACAGAGTGTGGCTCATATTAATAAACACATTATTCTCCCCCCATCTTTTTTGGCCTTCCATGACTACAGTAAAGGCAAGCTAATGTTCACCTGCAGGGTTGTTGCATAGACGGGATAATGGACACAGAAGATTCATATGGGTGTTCTTTTGTGTGTTCAGGAGGGGAAAAAAAAAAATAAAGCAACATACCTTTTTGTGAGAGGTGGTAACTTTGACTCTTTAGCTTTACTGTTATTTTACCACCCACTTCAGCTATTTTTTGGTTAAAGTAAGAAGTGTTGGAGCCTTTGGTTTTTCTTCATACTCATTAAGGGAATTCCCCATTACTGTCAGGTCAAAGTGATGGCAAGACTTGAACACAACCCTCTTTGGTAGACTAATGTAAAAACATCTGACAAATGCTTGTTTGGATATCTGCCACACTGGCACGGAAAACTGCTTTTTGTCCTGGAGTCACATGGATTGGAAGTAAGGCGAATTATACCTGTAGGGTCAAAGGGAAAGTTGTAACCCTTCCCCAAACAAACTGTAGTTGGGCCTTTAATGTCTGAACTAATATGTAGTCCATGACTAGCAGTGTGTTCTTTAATCTTTTTGAGAGAGGTAGGTGATTGATAACGGGTCCATGTTCATAGGAGTGTGTTTTTTTTATGTTGGAAGTAGAATACTGTTGCTGTGTTGAAGCTTGAACAGTAAAGTCATCTATTTCCTAATGACAATGGTTTGGGTTAAGCAGGTTTTCATGCAATGTGCAAAAAAAAATTTCAAGGTTTTTAAGCTAGTAATCATGTTTTTGTTCACCTTTTTTTAGTGCCGGTAGAACATAATCCAACTGTGCCCAGCCGCCATCAATAATAAAATGCCCAGTAGCACACTAAACATGAAAAGTTACAGTAAATCATTCAACTTGGTGGTAATAAATCCTGAAACCTTAAACTGCAGTATACCAATTCTTAAATGTGATGGCTGCATTTGCTATCTTTTAGGCTTTATTTCATCTGGGGATTCACCCGGTAAGTCTTGTTTTGTCAACTTCCTTTAACAGACCAAGTTGTGCAGAAAAAGTAGCAGTTAGAGGGTTGAGACAAACCATTTACCAATGACAGGACCGTTTTAAAAGTGGTATTAAACCCAAAATCAAAAATGTAATAAAGCATCTTATCAATTGTTAGAGGGGGGAAGCCTAAAGAGAACCAACACAGCCACTACATCTGTTTTCACCAGGTGATCAGGCCAGGAACAAACAACCTGTATTGGTGCCCCCACTCTGGATGAAGAAGCACAGGAGGCACCTTTTGGACAGCAGCATTCAGTCTGGGGAGGAGGAGAGTGTTGGATGCACTAGAAGATTTAGATACTCTAACCAATTGTCAGAGTCAGATATATATAGATATATATATAGATATATATATTATATATATATATATATATATATATATATATATATATATATATATATATATATATATATTGTGTATACACTAAATGGATGTGTGTGGACAGGCTGTGAGACAATTGTAAAGATCTCATCATTCCCTGTGTATGAGGAGAGGGGGACTCTGCAGAGAAATTTAGAATTCATAACAGAATGCCAGCCTATGCTGTGCCCAGGTGCATCTAGGTGGCAGTGCACCCTTGGCAGCTGTCTAGTTTGCCTAGTGGAAGCACTGAGGTTCCCCCCCCAACTGGTTGAAGAAAAGACTCCATTTCCCAATCCACACTCAAGGTGCACGGGGGAATCCTCCCCACTGAGCTATTGTATTCTAACATCAGGGAGACTTCACTGTCATCAAAATACATTGATCAGTGTCAGGGGCAGACTGACAACTCACGGGGCCCCTGGGCAATAGGGGATCATGGGGCTCCTGTGTCCTTGCCCAAACTCAAAAAAGCCTATGAAAAAGGTACCAGGGGCATCTCATGGGGCCCCCTACTGACCCCGGGCAGTGCCCGAATTTCCAAATGGTCAGTCCGCCCCTGATCAGTGCTGCTCTCTATAGTCTGCAGTGTTAAGTGGCAAAAATCCATCAAGCCAGTTGTAAATAGACTTCAGTATACCCATCCTACTCACACATGGATTGAAATTTGTCCGGTACCTGCTGAGCAGGCCTAATTTTAATGGCCTTCTTTACTGGCTGGATCACCAGATGAAAATAGAAACCTAACAAAGAAAACTAATACAGCCATCACATCAAATAATTTCTAATATAATGTTTGCTTTTGGATTTAATAAAGTAGTCGGCTTTTATTTATGTAAAACCTTTATCCCAAAAGGGAGAAAAAAAACACTTTGCTGTAACTTAGTGTTAGCTGAAGTTTAACTTCAAATTGTTAGAAGTCTAGCAAAATCCATTAGGCTAAAGACTGGTACACAAGGTCGTTTTTTTTTTTTTTTTGTTTTGTTTTTTTTTACAAACCAATTTTAGTACAGAAATTTCCCCACTGAGCTATTGTATTGTGTCAGGGGGACTGCACCCTCCCCCTTCCTATCAGAACACACTGGTCCATGCTCGCAGCCATTGGCTGAAAGCTCTGATCCACTGCTGGCTTTCCAGAAAGCTTGTTTGACAGAAGCTGGCTGTGAGATTAGTTTCTGTCAAACAAGGATATGCAAACATGTGCCAAATGTCAGCCGGTATCTTCTGTACTGGCTGATATTTGGCCTGTGTATGGGGCTTTACACTACTACTTCCCCACACTGACAATGCTAATGTCCAAATGTGTTTGATTTACTACTTCATCCATAATGCCGACACCCTAAGACAAGGCCGTGTGTTACTGACAAGATCATCAGGTGAAATGCAGGGGAAAAAGACAAGAAGGAGAAGGAAAAGAAAAAAAATACAGCCACTACATCTCTCAATAAATTTCAGCATATTACTTTTTGTGGTTTAATGCCACTTTTCATATGCTATGTTATAATTTTATAGCAAGTATAGAATCTGTCTCATGATATGATACACAAGACTCTCACTGTAGAGCTATAAAAAAATATAGAATATCTAAACCATCTATTCAAAATGTGCAAGTGTTTTATAAACCCAAACTGTCCGTAGATGTAGTTATGATCAGTATCCAGTTTAATTGCATTGACTTTCCAGGCACAGTCCCAATATTAGAAGTTTTATTCATGAAAATCGCAGACCCCCTTTCAGTTCCTCTAATGGCTGGTCTACATCTGGGTCTGGGCAGTGCTGGAGAGCCATCAGCAATCTGCTCTATTAGTGCAGATTTGGCTGACATTTCATAGGGATTTTGTTGCTATCTTGGATCAGTGCACATAAGCTCTGGATATGTAGATTGATGCAGGAATAGCACTGTGTCTTTTTAATACACCGGCATCTGTGTATTTTACAGATCTGATAATTTTTGGCCAGCAACAATGTATGCTTTCCAGGTAGAAGCAACTCATTGTTATTGGACTCGATGAAAAATGCCTGTGTGAGAAGGCTCTGGTGGAAACTTTCTCTTCCACTGAATTGTGTGGCTTATACTAGGTTAAGCAAATATGGTGAACAGGCTTAGCTTTAGGGCTAAATCACAGCACAGGAACACAGTCCGGATACATTTCTGCATTAGCATTTTTTATGTGGTTTCAATGCTTTCCTTCTCTTTTTTTTTTTTTTTTTTTTTTTCAAAGTTTCTGTTTTTTTTTTTTTTTTTTTTTTTTTTTACTGTAATGTGTTCTGCTGCATTTTTGATACATTTTGTGACATTCTACTGCAGTTCCTAGCAAAAACATAAGGCATGTTCTACTTTTGACTGTACTGAAACACACTGCAATCGTGTGAACTTTGCCATTGGAATCCATGTAACCTGTCCATGTGTTTTTTTTATGAAGAATAAAAAAAAAAACAGAGGGAAGGCATGTGGTGTAAACTGGCCCTTACCGTTGGAAGCCACCAAGATGAGAAAATTCTAGATTAGCCCAGGGAAACCAACAATCCTTTTTGGGTGTAGCCTATATTTCTGCCACTAGAGGTCTCCCTCGGCTTCAGTAATTCTATGAAGTTGCAAAAAAAGCTTACTTTTGTGTTTGTGATGCTTATAGAGTGCTTGGTGTGAAGGCATGCTAAGGGAAGACATTCAAATTGCAAGGCTAATTTCACTGGGCTATAAAAATTATATGCCATAACAACCCTTTTATAAACAATAGGTGTCAATGAGAGATAGAAAATTAAGTCATGGCTAATGAGATTGCTACAGCAAATAACTGCATATCTGCTGGCCCAGTATGCATTGATAGATCACTCTATCAAACCTTTGGTTATCTGATCTAAATTTTAGTTATTTTAGAAACTTTAATTGGTTTTGACGTAGTCTGTAGGAATAAATAGAATGTGAAAGTGTGCAGTTGGGTTAAAAAAAATTCCAATACCCGATCATGTGTTTTATGTTAATTGTTGTATGAAGCAATTGGTCAATTCTGAAACCATCACTTTGAGTCTTTTCTTTGGTTTAACCTTTCCCAATAAACTTTGCCATGGTCGGTTAATGAACTGGTAGTGTTGAACAATTGTATAGACCTTAAATCCATTAAACAATTTAATATAATGGTCAATGAAATAAAAAAAAATATTCATGGATGACAGAATAAAAACGTAACTGGAAATTCACATCATAAAGAAACAAGTTTCATCATTACCTTGTAAACCAGTGTGCATGAAGTTCAAAGGCCAAAATTAAAGTGTATCTAAAACCAAAAAAATATTGTGGCTTACCTGCTTTTGGATGTGGTAGCTGCATTGGTTTTCTTTCTTCATATTTTTGTCCCTTATTTTACCTGGTAATCATGTCATTTTTTTGTACTAGAATGACAACCACACTGATCTTCTATGTCTTC